ATATATATATATATATATATATAAAATATGTGGCATTTAAAAATTAGTTAAATTTTATCACAATAACTATTATATTTAAAAAGTACAATTGATACCATGGAGGGCAAGCTGTAGATTGGGGCTGAATAATTACTAGTCTCATAGCTACTAAAAACCTTCATCATTAAAAATGCCTTTAGATTTGTGTGTATATGTGTGTGTAGTGTTTGTGTGTGTGTCCATACGTTCATATGGGTGCATGTGCCTACAGGTGTCAGAGGTTGACATGGCTGTGGATCTCCATAATGTTTTTTGAGACAGGGTCTCTCACTGAGCCCAGATCTTATCAATTAGCATGACTAACTGGCAAGCAAGCTCAGACAATTTGCTTGTATATACCTTCCTCTGTCCCCTGTGCTAGGTTTAAAGACATGTATTATGATGCCCAGGTCTTATGTGGCTGCTAGGAATCTAAACTCAGGTCCCATGTTTGTGTAGCAGACACTGTTTTTAAATTGACCATCCTCCAAGCCCGAAGACTTTGTATATAAGGAATTCTCAGAAGACAAGCAACTTATTTTTACCGAAAGATGATAATGAATTGCAAATAAGTACGTGTAAAAGACAGTCAATTCATCTTTAGGTAAATACAAATTAAAACTACAGTGAGATACTGCTATAAACTTATTAGAATGGCTAAACGTTAACTGGGTTTATTATACTCAGTGCTGAAAAGGCTTGAGGACTGAAGCCATCACATAATCTCGTGGGAATATCCATTGGTACAACCCCTTTGCAGAAGAGTTTTCAAAGTTAACTTACACCTACAATGCTAAGCTCTGAAAAAGAAGAGAAGCTGAATTTCTCACCTATTGCTAGAGGATATGGAAAAATGGTATTCACTAGAAAATTGTTTGACAATTCTTATAAATGCAAACCTATACTTACCACAGGACCCATCAAGGTCCCTTCTACATTTCTAAACACAGTTGAAATGATCATGGAGGTTCACACAGAAATCTGTATGTGGCTGTTTATGGAAGTTTTCTTTGTGATTATGCAAAATTAAAACCTCCTTCACTCTTGGGTGTTGAATGGATAAACAAGATGTTATGGATTCACACAATTGATTTCTACTGAGCAATAAGAGACAGGCGGATCTCTGTGAGTTCAAGGCCAGCCTGATCTATCTACATAGTGAGTTCCAGGACAGCTAGGGCTACAGGGAGACCCTGTCTCAAAAAAGACCGAAAAAAAAAAGGAATAAAGCTGTGGGATCTGTGTGTGTGTGTGTGTGTGTGTGTGTGTGTGCGTGTGTGTGTGTGCATGTGTGTATGTGAGTGTGTGTGCGCAAGCGCGTGTGTGTGTGTGTGCGTGTGTGTGTGTATGTGCGTGTGAGTGTGTGTGTGTAAGACACTGGTTGTGCTGTGCATTTTCCTCCTTCCCTCTCCACTTTATTTTATGAGAGAGGGTTTCTCACTGAACATGTAGCTCACTGATTTGGTTTGTCTTCACTGGGTTTCCAGTGAGCCCAGGGATCCTCCTGTCTCTGTCTTCTCCAGTGCTGGCACTGCAGACCCTTGATACCATACCCAGCTTTTACGTGGGTGCTAGGGATTCAAACTCAGGTCCTCATGCTTGTGGCAGGAACTTTACGGACTGAGCCATTACTCCAGCTCCAAAAGGAATCAAACGCAGATTTATATGGATGAATCGTAAATATACTTTGTTGTAGTCAGATTCAAAATTCTGTGTACATTTTGATTCTATTTTATGAGAGTCTGGAAAACAGTCAAATCATTGATTACCAGTAGTTTGGAGTTGGGGGAAGAGTTTACAACAAAGTAGCATGAAGTAAACTTCACCGGGTGGCCTATTCTCCATTTAGATGTATGTGTGGCTACATTCAGTGGAAAAACTCACAGCCATTCTATGAACTGTACTGATTTTTTTCTATATATGCTATACCATAATAAACAGAAAATATGCATTGTCATGGTTTAATCTTCATTGTCACCTGGATGGGATTCAGAATCACCATGGAAGCATACTTTGAGTGTGTCTATGAGTGTGTTTTAAGATACAACTTGCAGAGCAGGGAGGACCCACTCTGAACATGAGTGGTACCATTTCCTAGGCTGGGATTTAGATTGAATCAAAAGGACAAAGGGAACCGAGCACCATCTTGCTCTGCTTCCTGACTGTGGATTCAGTGTGATCAGCTCTCTCTCACTTCTGCTACTCCTGCTTCCTTCACTTCCTGACATGATGGACTTTTCCCTCACAGTGTGAGTAAAAAGAATTCCTTCCTTTTTAAAGTGGCTTTTGCTAGGTATTTTGTTATAGAAACAAGAAAAGTTACTAATACCTACATCAAGCTGAAAGTTGATATTAAGATACTTTAAGATTCATTTGTATTTTTTAAATGTCTCTTAAATAAGTAGCAATTTCCTTATAATAATACAATGAGCTTTACAGACTAGCATAATGGCTCAGAAGGTAAAGTCATTTGCTGCCAAGCCTGATGACCTGAGTTTGATCTCCAGAACCCACAGATCTCTCCAGTAGGAGAGAACCAACTCCTTAAAGTTGCCCTCTGACCTCCACATGTGTGTCATGCCCTCTCCACACCCACACATATATAAATTAGAACTTTTAAACAGGATCAGGGATTTAAAAGAAATTATATTTCTTATTCATGAGATTAGCAGTTTCAAGGTTTGTGAATGTGCCAATGATATAATTAAGAACTATTACTTGGGATAGCATTTGATGAATTCAGATTTCTGTTTATATTCTTTGACCTTGAAATTCTACTCATTGGCATTTATTTATTTTCAGTGCTTAGGATAGAACCCAGAGCCTTATTAATGTTATACAGGTTCTCTACCTAATAACTTCATTTTCTGAATATTGCTTTAAATTTGGAAATAATTTGAAACAACTCAAGTTATCAACATTGAAATCATAGTTAAACAACTTCTTGTAACCTTTCTATTAGAAATATGATCTTGATTTTCATGTTTTGATAAAGGTTTCTATAACTTCCTACTAAATAAGAAATGCAAGAAACAGTGCCAGACAGAAGAAACCTCCCTTTGAGTTGTTGATCAGGGTAGTCCAAGAGACTCCCAAAATAACACAGGCTGTTGCCATAGCCCTTGATTGCCTCCCAGAATGTGAACATGAATCCTTATTGCTGAAGTCAGGACATACTTCAGACACAGGACTTGGGGCAATGGAGCAGGAACTGAACTGGAAGCCTTCTACCTGAAGACTAGCTCTCATAGTTCTAGAGGATACTATGCAAGCTGATAAGGGAGAATATCAATCAATGATCCAACCCCAGCTTTAAAGCCTAACAACCATGACTGGCACAGCAAACTATGCCTATTGGTGCAGTAGTGGTGCTTTTATGTAGAGGGTAATCAAAAGCTATCTAATTTGACTTAAATCCCTCTCAATGGGAAGTAACTCATGTATGGCACTGTAAATATAGATTCACATGGCTGGAGTGGTCATAGATCATAGAGAAAACCCTATCTCTGTCATATTCCTAGACAAATGTAAATTTTACTATATACTAATATTGATCCTTATATTTGCGGACAAGTATAGCATCCACCACACATCAAAGAAGCTACTTTTTGCAACAGATGGAGACTATAGCAGAGTTCCACAACCAGTCCCACACAGAGGGAATAAGTGTCTGAGAGATGCCCAACCCTAAGTGACACATCTACAATGGAGCCTCTACATTTAAGACTCATGGAACACAGTGGAACAAGGGGTAGAGAGAATACTAATACATCTCTCAACACACACCAGCAAATCTTACAACAGAGGGGGATGCACACAGAAGGCCACAACTGGCCAAGTTGTAGAGAATAGGATACTGCAGAGTGTGTGTTCCTGGTTAGGACTTCTACATTAAAACTCACCCACCCATGGCTCAGGAACCATTGCAGAAGAGGGGCAGAAAGATTATAGGAGCCAACATTGGTCCAGGAACATAGGAAACAGAGTCTTCCAGGTGTCTGCGAACTTGCTCATATGGACTTGCAGCAATGGTGACAGCATTCACAAGACCCAAGCCAACTCAATCAGACAAAAACCCAGCATAGAACTGGGGGAATGAGCAGCAGGCCCCAACCTTAGCCAAGGAACTAATGGCACAGTAGTGGGGTAAGGGAGAGTTGATCATCTTTAAGTGATTCTAGATAGGGTGACTAGACACCAGTGGATGAACTTGCACCAAAGGACATCTGGATACAAAAGCTTGACTCAATAGGCCTTAACATATGTGACAGAATGTATGAAATCTGGTGTGGGGTGCTATGATGAGGTGTAGTTTGGGGGAGG